TTATCCTAAAATTCATATGGAACAACAAAAGACCCAAATTGCCCAAGCAATCTTGAGAAAAAAGAAAGCTGGAAGTATAACCTTCCCAGGCTTTAGGCTTTATTACAAAGCTACACTAAACAAAACACCTTGATATTGGCACAAAAACAGACAGATAGATCAATGGAAGAGAATAGAAAGCCCATAAATAAACCTATGCACCTATGGTCAATCAATCTACAACCAAGGAGGCAAGAATATACAATGGAGAAAAGATAGTCTCTTCAACAAGTGGTGTTGGGAAAACTGGACAGTTGCATGTAAAACAATGAGATTAGAGCATTCCCTCTTACTTTATACAAAAATAAACTCAAAATGACTTAAAGACTTGAATGTAAGACCTGGAAATATAAAATGCCTACAAGAGAACATAGTTGGAATACTCTTTGAGATAAATTGTAGCAATAATTTTTTGGATCAGTCTCCTAAGCAAAATAAATAAATAAATAAATAAATGAATGAATAAATGAATGAATGAATGAATGAATGAATAAATAAATAAATAAAAGCAACAATAAACAAATTGGACCTAACTAAACTTTCAAGTTTTTGTATGGCAAAGGAAACCATAAAAAAAGGAAAGACAGCCTACAGAATGGGAGAAAACATTTGCATATGATGTGACTGACAAGGGGTTAATATCCAAAACATATAGACAGCTCATATAACTTAGTAACAAAACAAAAATAAAAAATGGGCAGAGATCTGAATAGATGTTTCTCCAATGAAGATATACAGATGGTTCACAGGCACATGAAATGATGTTCAACATTGCTAATTATTAGAGAAATGCAAATCAAAACAATGAGCTATCATGTCACACCTGTCAGAATGTCTATCATCAAAAAGTCCACAAATAACAAATGTCAGAGTAAATATGGAGAAAAGGGAACCCTTGTAAACTGTTGGTGAGAATGCAAATTGGTCCAGCTACTATGGAAGACAGTATGGAGGTTCCTCTAAAAACTAAAAATATAACCACCATATGATCCAGCAGTTCCTCTCTGGATATATATCTGCAAAAACAAAAACACTAACTTGAGAAGATACATGCCCCCCAATGTTCATAGTAGCACTATTTACAACAACCAAGACATGGAAGCAACCCAAGTGTCCATCAACAGGCGATTAGATTAAGAATATGTGGGATGTATATTTAGATAGATAGATAGATAGATAGATAGATAGATAGATAGATAGATAGATAGATAGATAGATAAGTACATCATGGAATATTAGTCAGCCATAAAAATGAAATATTGTTATTTGCAGCAACATGGATGGACCTAGAAATTATTATGCTTAGTCAAATAAGTGAGACAGAGAAAGACAAGCACTGTGTGATATACTTATATGTGGAATCTAAAAAGTAATACAAATGAATGTGTGTGCAAAACAGAAAGAGACTCACAAACTGAAAACAAATTTGTAATTGCCAAAGGGGAAACAGCAGGGGAGAGGGACAAATTAGGGGTATGAGATTAGCAGATACAAACTATTACATATATAAGATAGATAAGCAACAAGGATATACTGTAGAGCATAGGGAATTATGCCCATTGTTTTGTAATAAACTATAATGGAATATAATCTGCAAAAATACTGAATCACTATGCTGTACAGCTGAAACTATCAGTTGTTAAACATAGCTAAATGAGATACCATCACCACAGAAATACTCAAATAATGAGCAATGATACATTAGTTTATTCTTATCTGCTCAGAATGAGCGTCTTGCTTAGGATTGCTTCCAACTGCCCCATGGCCATTCAACTGATTGATGTTAGATTCTTCTTGCTGTACCCTACAACACTCTTAACCAACCAATCCAGAGCCACCCCTTTTGGGCGGAATAGGGCCTCAGTGGGAAATGATCTGAATGTCACTGCCAAAACAGGCCTCTGAGTCAGCCAAGCTCCAAGTTGTTTGAGCACAGATCAGCAAATATGGGGTGTGATATGTATAAGGGTATGCCAATATGGGGTCTACTTCTGGGATCCTGGTTCTTTCACGTAGAAGAACTTACTTCATTTAGAAAGTAAATCTTGGATTCTAATATTGCCATCAACAGATATTTATGGACTATCAACAGTGTAAAGGGCCTAGATAGGCATAACTCCTATTTATTGTTATTGCCACTACTATCATTCCAATCTAGTTGTATAGCACCTTAGAATTTAAATAGCACTTTTATGTTTATTTCCTTTGAGCCTTACAGCATTGCTTGCATGGTTCAAATTATTACCCTAATATTACAGATAAAACTAAGTCTCAAAGTAGTAAAGTGTACTAGATCACACAGTTAGTAATTGACAGAGCCAAGATTCAAATCCAGGTATGTCTGGAAAACTTTTGCTCCTCCCAGCACAGCAGGCCATCAAAAGGCAAACTCCACTGACTTTCCAATTTTGTTCAATAAATGTTTGTTGTGTAAGTGAGTCAATGAGTAGATGAGTAATGAGAGGAAGTAGCTCATATACTAGGGCAGATTCAGGTTGGGCTCCATGGTGGTGTACATGTGTGTGCATGTGTGAATGTCCTTGGGCATATACAATTGGTAGAGGGCAATGAGGAGAAGGAATCTGCCATCACTGAGCACCATATAGGCCAGAAACTATGGCAGGGACATTCAGAGATTCTGTTTCACTCAATCCTCACAATGATCCTGTGAGTCAGTTGTTATCCAGTATCTCATTCCTCAGGTGGTGGAACTGAGGCCCAGAGAGGTTATGCAGTTTGCCCAAGGTGGTGGAAAAGAAATTTGAACCTGAGTCTGTCCAACTGCAAACTGATCCTCTCTCCGCTATAGTTGCCTTTTGGAACCTACTGATTAGAAGCTGAGAGGGAGGAGCTGGTAGGAATGTTCACAGAGGAAGATGGAAATGCAGAGATTGAGTACTAGAAAACAAACTGAGGTCCTTCAGGCCCCAAGCAATATGGAAGTAAACAGGCACTTAATGGGAATGGGATCCTTGGATACCATTGCCAGCAGGGTCAGGGATATAAGAGAAGCTGAGTGACAAATGGCTTCCCAAATGGGATCCTGATGTCATCCTCCTTCCTAGGGATATTTTTAACCCATGTGTCTCTTTGGGACCTTGAGAAGCAGAGCTGCAATGTGGAAGCCACTTATATCCTTGAGATGTGTGGCTGCTAAGGTGATGGCAGGACCTGTGCCAAACTCAGGGGTACATTTTCCCATCCATGGCCTATAAATAAACACAGAGCAGTCCCCAAGGTAGCTATTAACCATGGCTTTGCTAGGCTTTCCTCTGAGGGGTTTTCAGGAAGGTGGGGGAGTTGGGCACTCTGATGCACTTGGCAGTGCAGTGGTAGCAGCTGCTAAAAAGCATCTAAATTTCTATGGGGTTGGGCTCACTTTCTAAGAGGGAGGGAGGAGGGAAACAGCTGTGACCAGACCCCTTGCTTTAGGCCCCCTGAACTGACCTAAGGGATTGCATGAGAGTGCCTTAACCTCAGGCAGAGGACTTAGAAAATATGGCAGGCATCTGTTCCTGCCTTGATGACTTGGCTTATGCCCACCACTGCCTGTCTTCTCATGGGGAAGGAGGTGGCTGGCAATTCTAGTACTGGTGAGCTTGAATGGAACCAAGGCTTGACATTCCAACATCACGATGTTGCTCTATAACTGGAGTAAAATCACACTGTGACATGGTGAAAAGTCAGGAGATTTAAGCTGTCCATCATAACTCTGTTATGAAATGACTTATGACCTTGACCCTTCCCCTGTCTGAGACTATTTTTCCCATTCATAAAACAAGAGGATGGAGGAACCTCTAAGAACCCTCCTAGCTTTGACAGTGAAGGATTATCTCCCTTCAGAATATTCATTCTTTCCTTTTACAACCTCCCTGGCTTCTGGGGATTTCTGAGGGAAATTATGATACAAAAATCTTAAGCCTGAAATTTCTTTGGCTCCTACCTTCCTGAAATTCTGGCAAGGAATTGCAGGGTTGGAAATAAACTCCAAGTTAAAGCATCCCCGACATGTCCTCCACAAATGGAGTAAGGAGAATAAAAGAGAAAAGAAGAGGAGAAATGGCAGGTTCAGAGCAGCTATAGAGCCTTTGGGGTTGAGGGAAGCTTTAGGTCATGGGGAAGTGGGATCAGGTTTCCCAGAGCTTGTAGACACCATAGAAAACTTTGGAAAGGAATACTGTGAGGTCTTGTGTGTCCTTAGTATTCATGAAAATTATGTTGCTGTGAAAAAGACTGAGGGTGGGGCCTATTAAGTGGCTGTTAGAGTGTGGTTTAAGGCCCATGGGCAAGAAAGCATGGAATTCCCCTGTTGTGGCAGAAAATGGAATTTTACTTGTGAGTCACAAGAGTCTGTCAGGCAGGCCAGTGAGCTGAGTTATAAAGGATGCACCCTGAAGCTCTGGGAGGTAACTGAATTTTTGACTAGGGGAAGCCTCTGGGATTTGAGTGGGATAAATGAAGCTGCCTTGAGCCTTCAGGGGCTTTCCATGGTCAGTAGCCAGTGAAGGGGTTAGGACCTGGGGCCCACAGAGAGTAAGTTAAGCAAGATGCCAGAGAGATAGGGCTAGAATGATCACCTGGGAGGTGGGAATTATGGGACTGGTCCCTTTGAGGCCAGGAGGGTGTATATAAGAGCACTATGAAAAGGGTGGGGGGAGTTTATGAGACCTGAAAAGTATTAGGAACAGAGGGTCTGGGAAAAATGAGGCTTTGAGAAGATGGAATATTTGAGTGTTTTGAGATTAAAGCCCCCCCCAAATAAGGATATTTGCATTTTGAAAGAGCATGTCTATACCAAGGCATTGCTAACAGTGAATTTTCAGATACCAATGAGAAAGAGAGTACTGGGGAGCTAAAAGGAGGGATTAAGGGGGAAGGAAGGTAAATGATCACACAATTTGTGAATGCATGAGGCCTGCCAAGCATTTCCTGCCTCAGAAACCAGGGCAAAAAAGGCATACCTGTGAAAAGCTTCCTAGGTCTCCTCCAGCCCACTTGATCTAGCTCTCTGGGAAAGCTCTGTGAGATGGGCAGAGAGTGGCATTTTTCCAGGAGGATTTTGAGGGATGGAGTCCTTGGTGATGGTTCAGCTGGGGGAGAGAAAGTCTGCAAAAATTAATAAGAATTAGATATTCAGTGGGGATGGGCAATGGGCCACCACATGGCTTAAACAGCAGAAATTCCAATTTAAAATATCATGTGGTCCAGCACCCAAATCCAGACAGGGTTACCATGTATCATCAGTAAATGCAAGCAAAGATCCAACTACCAAGAGCCTAAAAGACACCAGGCAGTGGAGAATATGAAAATCAAGCAACTGATTGAAAGAAAATAGCATATGTTTCTCCTTTTTTGGGCATTTTATGTATGTTTAGTTAGTATTGGGATGGGGGAACTGAGGATACTGAATTTGCTATAGACTTTAACATTTACTCAATGTGACACCAGGGGTGAATGAATTCGTCTTTCTGAGTCTCCGTTTCCTCATCTGCATAAAAAGGATAGTGATAATACCTACTTTGTAAAGTTACCAGCATGAAGAAGTGAAATAATGTACATAAAGCACATAACAAAATACTAAGAAAAAGTATGTGTATGTGTGAAAGAATGAAAATGAGAGAGAGAGAGAGAGAAACTTTCTCTTGCCAGAAGCACATCTTAGCTAAGATCAAGTCCAAATCTTCTTTGATTTCAACATAGTCAGCTGTTTTCATCCCAAATCTTTCTTTCTTTTCCAAAATCCTGACCTCCAAGTGGTAAAAGACAAAAGTAACTAACTTCTGTGAATTATCTATGGACAATCTGTTATGCACAAGGTACCCTTCTAAGTATATTTGTGCATACTATGTCATTCAATTTTCACAACTACTCCCTAAGGTAGATAGTAGCCCATTTTGCAGCAAGGAAACCAAGGTCAGAAAGGACAAATGAGTTACTCAAGGTCACACAACTAGCAAATGGTAGGTTTATCTGACTATAGACTTGCCATGATGCCTTTGTAAAAAAGATAAAAATAGTTCCTTGGCCTACATTCTTCAAGTTCCTCCTCAATACTCCTAAGACACTATGACATAGTACAGGATGCTTTCAACTGTATTATTCATCCCTAGAGGATTAAGTGTTGGGAGAAGTTAATAGTTTGGATGGCACAGGTATGAAACACTAATAAACATGAATGTCAATGAAATAGAGACCAGACACTAAAAGAGGTTGCTTTTAGGACCTGTGGTGATAGCAGAGCCCAAAAGGAAGAAAGACACCTTTCTTTCCAAGCAAGTACTTAGTCAATGAGAAGCCATGGACTCTTCATTTACTAGAGCCCTCCCAATGCTCTTTTCACCTCTACAAAAGTATAGTCCTTCCCTTGTTGTGCAGGGGTTTGGACTTGGCACACCATGATTACAGATTCTAGATTGCAATTTTCTGCTGATCCTGAATATAAACCCATCTTTGCTGAAGAAACATCTGGAAGTATTTTCATTTCAGGATGACATTTCAGTGGCTCATGCAAGGACCAGAGAAGACTCCCTCCCTGTGACAGCACTGAAGTTAGTGAGCAAACAGGTGTGATACCCACAATTGAGCCCATTTTGCTTACTGCTTTTTCTCACCAAACCTAGAGTTTAAAGGTATGTGTTTCTCCTGGATCCAAGCTCATGCCCTCTTTGTTTTTGAAGCTCTCCAGGCTTTATTCATGATCTATTATAAGGTTTCATCTTTCCAGTACATCCTGGTTCTGTATTTGAGTATTTGTTTGACACTTTGGTCTGATTTTAAGTTCAGACTGTTTCAACAGAAGCTGGCTAAAAATGTCTTCAGCCAAATTTCTTCAGAAACAGGGGCTGCTTCTCCGAAACTGTGACTGTTTCTCAGCCCTCAGCCTGTTCCTTTGGAATAGGAGCTGTTATCCAGAAACTAGCTGAAAAAGCTTTTGGCCTCACTCCTTTAGGGCCAGGCTGTTTCCTTAGAATTGGCTGGTATTCACACTTGTAAACTGTTTGTATTGAGCTGTTAGTGCTGTAAGCCAATTGAGCTATTTGAAAATTGTCCTTTACTCTAGAGAAAAACCTCTGAGAAATGGGACCCAAGTAATCTAAGTATTTTGAGGGCACCTTCCCCTACAGGGACTCCAGCAATTTTACGTTTAAAAACCATGCTCCTTTCTCATGTGCATTTTTAACTAAATGTGCCAACCTGACCAAAGGCAATTTAGAATATTAGTGACAATTATGGAAAACTTATGAAATCTCCAAGCATAATTTCCTCAGAACTGAATTGGACTACAGTAGCTCAAAACTTTCCAGAACTGAGTGGAATGCTTATTTCCATTTGTATTTTGAGATTTCCTAACATTATCAGGAATATATAATTTCATCCCTGGAAAATAATATTTTTAGATTAACTGAGGCAAACAAAGAACAATAAAATGGCTCCCAAAAATCTCAGGATTTTCTTCCTTGGCTTCTTTGACTCAGGCTTGGCTTTTGATGCCATCTTGTCTCTGTCCCTCTCTCCACTCCTCATGGCCAGACTCCATACCTGACACGAACCCCCTCCTTTCCTTCTGCACAGCCAAAACCTCCACTAACCCTCAATTCTGCCCCTCTTACTAATTCCCTCATCAAACTTCTGTTTTCTGTAAAACTCTCCCCACACCCTTTTACTCTGAACTTGTCAGAACCTGACCTTTTAAGATTAAGACTTATGAGGATCCAGGAGCCAAACATTTAATTTCTTATATTGCTGGGACTAAAGCTGAACTGCAAGTCATAGTCAGAGATTTTCCCAGGGAAACCGAAGAGTCTCACAAACTTGCTGGAAAATTAAATATAGTCATTCAATGTATCAACCTGGCTTCTATGATTTAAATCAGATAGTTTATATGTTTGTTAGTGAAGGCTAGCTTGGCATTGGATGACAACCACTAACTAGGAAAATCCTGAAATATCTCTACAATTACAACTGGGAGGTCAGCCCTCTAACTTATATGATCAGGCTCCATCAATCACTAGGCAAATTTACTTGGCAATTCTTAGAGCTTTTCCAAAGCCTGTTGATTCGAACAAAATTCAGGCTTTCACACAAAAGTCTGAGGAACCTGCTCATGACTATTCCAATCCACTTCACACTGTTTTGAAAGAAAACTCTGGTCTTCTTTCAGATATTGATTTCACCCAGGCAAATTTTAACTTTCTGTTTATAAACTGGGACCCTTCCCTTCTAGTAAAAAGGACCAGGGTGAAATGAGAAACTATGTCCACTTCAGATGTAGTTAATCTGTCAAACCAGCTCTCTTGCAGTCTAGATGAATCACCTCTAAGGAAGGCTGCCAAAATTCTTAAACTTCAACTGTAGCAAAGGAATG